TGTATTTTGCGTTTGCATGGTGCAATGCCTTGCTGTGTGCAAGTCTGACGCTTGGTGATACACTAACTTTCTTGACAAAGAGACTGGCTGAGACAATTTTAACTCTGTATGCATTGGCATCCGCTGTCATGAGAGCAAATTCGTCTTTAGAGCGCATAAATTTCAGCGACAGGTCTTCTCTCCTTCTATAGATGTGTCATTCATGTGTGATGATGTATCCTTACAGAATAACCCGGTGCTGAACTGTGTGTCTAAAGTGTCCTTATTATAATTGATAAGACATTCTATCACACCTCTGTATGGATATGTATTGGATGATTGACTAATGAGCCGGTCTCCCAAATTAATATCGACTTGACTAAATATGCTGCATCCAGGATAATTAATAAATCCTACATTAGCGTCCCTAGCCAGGTTTGAGCCATCAGCGTTTGTGATTCTCACCCGTGTGTAGATATATGAGTCATTTAGATCCAGGTAATCTTCACCCGAAGATGAGATGTAAAACTCGATCGGCCCTCCATCAGTGATTGCAGATACAGGTGGGATTTCAATAAATGTACTTTTCTCAATGCTAGTCTGTGTGTATGGGACAGTAAAAAGATCGAGCTCTGTTTTTACACATTCTCCAGAATGACTGTGTAACAGAGCCATTTAGAATATGTTGAACGACTGGTTCTGGGTCTTTTCAGAGCGTTCTCACTCCCGAGGCGTAACATGTCGACGTTTTGTCACGTCCCGCGGCGTTCCTGAGGAACGCGAAAGGAGACCTTCGGCGTTCTTATGGTACGCGGCGGGTTATGGCTGGAATCCAGTGCAATGACGCTCCCGCGGTAATAGACGTTCCAGCCCTGTATTCCAGCCCTAAACCTAACCTTATCCCTAGCCCTGACCATAACCTTATTCCTGACCTTAACCAGGACTTTAATGATGTTAAATAGCGTGTTTCTAAGCGATTTGAAGAAAAAGAGCGAACATGTGTAGGTTCAGTCCAGACGGTTCTCATATTTCCTCTTTTTCCGAGGTCGTCATTTAGGAACGTGGTGGGTAGCCGAAAACGTAATATGTTGACGATTTGTCACCTAGCGTAAAATGTTACGCTTTGGGAGTGAGAACGGGTTGGTCTTTTCACTCTGCGTGACGGTGTCCGTTTGGTGGCTCTCCTGCTAGGTTTTGTGGTTTTACGCTTTTTAGACAACGGCTGCCCTGGGGGTGGGGTCTTAGATGGTTTGGGCGTATACACATACAAGCCGTTACCGTCCTGCTTAGTGGTTGAGGGTCTGGTTATGTTGGTTATGACATCAGACACTATGCCCGATGCGGCTGTTTTTAGGTGTGGTTTGACTATGCTGACTCCTTTTTTAAACAGCGGTACTGCAAATCTAAACAAGCTACGGAACAACCCACCCAGACCTGTCCCATATTGTGTACTGGTCCCAACATACCCTCCGAGCTCTCCACCAGCCTGTGATAAGTAGTATTTTACATATTTTGAGTCATCAGTGTTGTAGACGGCCATCCTTTTTTTTCAAAAATGCTGGGTTATCGGTCGGAAGTGTAACTTGACAAACACTTTGCCGTATAAAAAGTGTATGTGTTGATTTCAATCGTCTTTCAAATCAATTTCTATGTCGTCGATTAATGTCTTTGACACAGGTGTGTAGTGTGGGCTGTCAAATTGTAGAATAGGCAAGCGGCGGTCATCGTCTGTAATATTTATAGCTCTTAATAACCTCGCGTGGGCGTCACCCACAAGCTGGTAATCAACGATATCTGCATAAATAAAGATGTTATATTTTCCCCCGTATATGTCTGCGGGGTGCGGAGCATATGTGTTTTTATAATGAAGTACAAACGGGTCTCCTGTTTTGAATCCTAGGATTTCCGCCAGTCTCCCTCTGAATGTGAGAATAGTCCCCCTAGGCCCCATAACACAGGCATGGTTACTAACTGCGTTGTACTGCATTTTAATGTCACCAGTGGCTTGGTGCTGCTGACATTTAAAATTAAATTCTTTTATTATCTGTTCCACAGATGCATAATGGCCCACAGACAGTTCGATCATGGTTACGGCTATGGTTCCATCTTTGACTGGGTCATGAATTTCCACTTCCGAATCTGATTGTGGAAAAGTCCGCCATATGCGTGGGTACTGTATCTCTATAACAGCGACCTCATACGGCTGATCCAAAACAATAGGTTTTGCTAGCTTTGTTCTAAAATTAGATATCTTATTACCCGGGTAAACATGTGCTGAAGCATTCGAGAAGAGGCTTACATAGAAGCCTGCATTGTTGTTCTTTTTATTCATGCTTTCTCAGTCTATGCTCAGTGTTGAATGAATGTGTGTAGAGCTGCGTCATCTGAGTTAATTACGCCTCAACGATGTCTTTTTCTGGAATCCACGAATTAAAGCTGTTGGGCCATCCTAGCCATTTCACTAGCACCTGCTTTTTCCGACCCACTTTTTTTCTAGCCAATATGTTTTCAATTTTAAATGTTTTGTTTTCATCAACAACCACACGTTGTATCTCAGGCTCATAAAATGACCCTTTCAATACCTCTCCTGCTAGATCCACTAGTCTGTACACTGGGGGCTGTCTCCCTATACGTTCCTTGACTGTGAAAATCTCATCGGTGTAGGTCTGCTCGTATCCTTTTCGAAACTTTCCTCTCAGTTTTGATATTCGTACAGTGTCACCAATATTAAATTTAAAGCGCAGGTCCCTCTTAGGCCTCGTTTTGTACAGCAACTTCTCATTATCCTTATTCACCTCTGCCGGAGCCATTTGGATAGATCTGTGATAAGCATTGTTATATGCTTGTGTGAGATCTGGTATGACATCTACATATCTCCGGGAGTTGGCTGAGGTTAAGTACTTCCACATTCTACCCTTGAAGCTACGACTGAATCTCTCGACAATACTGCATTTAACCTCGCTAGCTGTTGAGAAATGCTTGACATTATATCGCTTCATTAGCTGTTTAAAGGTTGTATTATAAAACTCTTTGCCTTCATCTGTTTGTAGTTTCACAGGGATCCTACCCTCACTAAGTATATCCTCAAAAGCAGCTGATACAGCAGTCCCTGTCTTGTTTGTTAGGCATCTAACCCATGCGTATTTTGAGAATACATCTATACATGTTAGCAGATATCTCACATTATCATTATCTGCCACATATTCACACATGTCAACCAGATCGGCTTGAAACTGTTTGTCGACCCCTGTCACCAATACTCTATTTCTGGGGAAGTGGATCCTCGCAGGTTTATGGAGTGTGTAAGTGTCGTCTTGTTCTAAATAATGTTTGACCTGAGATAGTGGAGGTGTTACACCTGATGCTGGATCATGATATATTTTATGCAATGTGCTTTCCATGATTTACAAACCACAAATGACTAAGATGTTGATGTTAACACGTCTTTTTATTTAATTTTCACACATACACAAACACAGACAATGGATACTTGAACAGCACACATTAAACCAGGTGTTTCCCAGCCCAGTAGTTTCCAATCATGCGGAGCATGAGCAATGTTGTCATTAATGGCGCATACTATATGTCGCTCTGATCTCAGTTCACACATGATGTGTTCTGCAACTCTGCGGATTTGTGTTCCAGTCCCATCTACAGTGTATGAGCGTACAAACAGCCGGATGGCTGGGATGAATCGGTCAGTCTGGAGCCTTATCATCACATCATCATAGTAGGTGTCGAAGAAATACTCAGACAATTCCTGCAAGCAGTTGTGTTGCACCTGACTGGGGTGGCCTGTTTGGCATCCGTAACATGTCTCTTGTAGAAACTCATTCAACGCCAACATCAACAGGTGGAGAGTTGCGAGTTTGATGTCGATTACAGTTTCCTCCCACAGGTCTGATATGAGGGGGTCTTGCGAGCATTGTGGTGAAGTTGGTGGAGTCTGGGGGGTCGGGATTAGCAGCGCTGTTGATGGTGACTCTGACAGGTCCCATGACTGCATGTCATGCTCTGTAAAATGAAAACCACAAGCTCTTAATTTGTCACATAGATACACACGCAACCCTACACACCCGCACATTAAACCTACCAGTTTATTGTTTAGTTGTCGGAAGGTCTTATGATTTTAGGTTTGCACAGGGTAGCAGGCAAACCAGTCTTCGGACAACTCGCCAGATCGTCAAAAACAAGGCGTTTTCTAATACTCTCGTACGCAGTGTTGAGTCTGTCCCTCTTGATCGTGTCATCAATCTGGCTAAACAGACGCGACAAACCTCTCCAGTCGCACCACTGTATAAAAAACAAGTCGTTAAACTATCTTGTGCACTCTTCGAGGTTTAGAGGGTAAGGATTTAACCTCCAGTTTTCAAGCCCTCTGGAAGCAATAAGACTATCCCTGTCATCACATACACTGAGAAAAATAAAGTCGTCAGGGTTGCGATTGAAACGATCAGCCTCAACCCTGTAAAGCTCAGGGCCTGATGCACTGTTCCACTGGGAAACATACAGCAGCTCTGGGAAGCCCACATTGTCCAGGTCCGCACACACTACGGTGCGGAAGAGCTTCCAGTTTTTAGTAGACATGACTTGGGGTTCCCCCCAAAACAATCCCTCGCCACAATCTACACTAAGCACAACTGCCCCTTCGGTATATTTAATGGCATACACATACCCTTCGGCGCCTCGATATTCTAACTTAAATACAGTCCCATCTACGGGGTTTCCACAGCGTTGCTTTTTACGTTGAGGACCCCGACTGCATACTCCTGAAGACATACCTAGAGTGGCTGTGGCATGGGTAGCACACCTGAATGCGCATGCGCACACGCACGAAACCGGTCAAACCGGGTGTCATCTTGAACTAGTGCCATCTTACTTGTGTCTTTGTGAACTCTCAGCAGTCACACAACTGGTTTGGTTGGCCACTATCTTGAACTAGTGCCATCTTACTTGTGTCTTTGTGAAAATCAGCAGTTGCACAACTGGTTTGGTTGGCTGCTATCTTGAACTAGTGCTATCTCACTTGTGTCTTTGTGACTTCTCAGCAGTCACATCAAGTTGTTAAATACTCCAGGTGGTTTTTCGAGCAAATCTCAGAAGAAAGAGAAAATACTTTTCTTTTTAATTAAACAGCAAAGCCTTCACTCAGCAGTGATGGCGGTCCAAAAGTTCAGGATTTTTTTTTTGCTCGTTTTTGTAACTGTTGGTTTTCTGGTGTTTATTCTGTCACAGGAACATTTATCAAAAAGGTCAGTTGGGTTTTTTTTCTTTGTTTTTTAATATTTTGTGTTGATATAAAGAATCATTAAAAAGGGAACTGTGAACTGATTTGCTAGTTCTGTTATTTGTACTTTGCTATTTGTTTGTCATTTGTTACCTCTGTTGCATTTCTGCCTAATTCCTGATTCAGGAGGACAACTTTCTCAGGAAAAAATGGACACAAATGGGAAAAATTTTCTCTTGACAGTGTCATTACATTTTTGGGAAAAATCAAAAACACATCTGCACCACCCTTTGTGTGTACCACAGCTGGCATAGCAAAAGTTATTTCAACAAAAATGAACCCAGTGACAAAATCTAAAACCCCTACACGCGGAGCCATGGCTGAGACTCCTATGCCTATCCTCTACAAAATAAATTTCACAAAGCTTCCTCAGTGGGATTTTGATGATGTTTATAACCAGGATGCACCACCTAGACCGACAGTAAGCATACTAAGATATGAGAGAAGTAATATAAATGCAGTTCCTAACTTTTCTGTGTTTGGGTATAGGCAGCACTGAATTCTGCTCAGCCAAGCAGTCAATCGTTTTCCTTGTGACCTATACATGTACCTTGTTTCCCCCTTTAAATTCATTATTTTCATTTTGTGGAGCTGTTTTTCTACCTTTGTGGCTTCGCATATGTCTGCCTTCACTCTTTCCTGCAGTGATGCACCAATTATGAAATTCTCTGTTGAAACCAATACAGATGTTTAAAAATAACTATCTGGCACATGGCTAATGCTAACACTTATTTTACTCTTGCTTTATTACATTTTTTCTGTCATTTGGTTCTCCCCGTTTTGAATTATTCAAGGCTGTTATTTAATAGAGTTGGATAATTATATCACAGCAAATTCAGTCTTTGGCTAATTTCCTGTATTTAATAGTTTTATGATTTTCAGGCATGTGCCCAGTCTCTGCGAAACTCTGACGATGAAAACTTTAAGAAGGCTTTTCTTCCAAACATACGTTTGTTTCTACACAAGGACAACATCAACATGAGCGAGTGGAATCGGCTCTCACATTTTAACAATCCTTTCGGTTTTATGGAGTTCAAGTACGACGGTAGGTCTTTTAGTGACACACCTATTTTCTTTTGTTATGACACATCCTCAAGCAACTTTTTGGCACATGAATAGGCGACTTGAGGCTACTTCTCAAATCAATGTTCCCCTATCCATTTTCCTATGCTTATCCAATTCAGGGTCACATGGTGTTGCTATAGGTTACCACCTGCAATATGCAGACTCTACGCAGAAAGACCAGGGCTGAATTCAAACCCAGGCTTGCTGTGAATTTATGGTACCAAGCTTGTGTCCAGCTGTGTGTCTTTGCTTTCTGAGAGTGGTTTCAAACCAGCACTTTCAGTCCTCCAAAATCCTAGCTGCATGTTGCTCTACATTAATGACCCCATGTGTTAGTTGAATGCTGATTGGCTGACAAGGGGCTAAAACAATGAAGTTAGCAACAGCTGAGTTCACAAGGAATGAGGGGAGCAGCTATAAAAAATAAAAAAAAGATCTTAAGTTTGTTTGTTTGAGGTTGCTTTTTTGATTTGTCAACCCAGACTAAGTGCCTTTCATAGTCTTTTGTTTTGGACTACTTCAGGAGCTCCAGGTTTTCTTGTTGCACTTTTGTTCTAGCTCTGGTCAGTTCATGACAACATCAACTTTAAGTTCTTGTCTGCATTTCATTATGTTTCCTGTTATATTTTGAAAGAGGTCCCCAGTTTAGTTTTAAGTTTCCCCTGTGACGTCGTTATGTTCATGTGTGTCAGCTGTTTCCTCATGTGTTGCCACTTCTCCTGATCACCTCATGTCTGTATTTAAGTCCTTCCTGTGTTCAGTGTTGCATCCTCCCTCATATGTCTGTTTGCCAAGCCTGACCAGTTTATTTTGTATCACCAAGTTTAGTTTATTGCTAAACACTGGAGAAAATAGAACTACCATTTTCAGTTTCAGCTTGGCCTCTGTGTTTTAGTCTGCAATTTAGGTCCTTTCATGCCTCCCTCCACACAGACCATAACATATTTACTCTAGTTCTGCTCACTGAAAGCTCTCGTCCCTTTTAGTAAACATGAGCAGGTGAGTCAGGTAAAGCTGAAGAAACAGCTGTTAATGCATGAATAAGAGTTATGGCCTTCATCTTGCTTCATTGTTTTCATATACAGGATACATTACTGTGCTGGAACTACAGCACTCAGAGTAAACACATTTTTGAATTTTTCTTTTGGTTTGCAGATGTGATGAAATCAGTGAAATTGATTCCAAAGCCAAAAGAGCCGTTGCTCCTCCCAAAACCCGGTGGTGACGGTTGTGTGCGCTGTGCTGTGGTAGGTACTGGAGGAATCCTGAACGGCTCAAAGAAGGGGGTGGAGATCGATGGCCATGATTACGTTTTTCGGTAAGACAAACCCCCAAGCAAACCTCTTGGCTTTGTTCGACAGGCACTAGGCCCAGTGTAGAAAAGATAAAGCAGTGTAAAGCATACCCTGCTTTATCTTTCTCTGTGACTTTCATATAGGGCTGGGTATCGTCACTGATTTCTAGAACCTATTTGATTCTGATTCACCAGAATGGGTGTAGAGATTGATGCGCATGATTATGTTTTTCGGTAGGAAAGGAAAAACAGAACAACACTATCAACTATTAAGGTGTATCTTTTACTAAAGTTAGCTTTAAAACATAAGAACGCTAAAAAAGATATAAAAAAAAACATGAGAACGGTTGCTGATCAGCAAATTCTTTGACAGTAAAAATGTGGTACTGTATCTGATAGCTCACCTGCTTGTGGTGTAGAAACTCCAAAATGTATTGTTCTCTTTCAAACATCAGTGTCGTCATAGAGTCAGAATGGAAAGCGTGTTAAGTGAATTAAGCTTCAGTAAGAGTATGTTCTGAAATGTTTTGGGCCAACACTTCAGTGGTATTGCTGAAGGTGGTTGATTCCACAAGAAAACCATTCTCCCAAAATGAAAGCAACGATTGCTTCTCAATTGATCTGCAACACCTGCTTCTGCCTGTGTGGCAGGATGAATGGTGCCATCACCAAGGGCTTTGAAGAAGATGTAGGAAACAAAACATCGGTCTATGTCCACACAGCCCACTCCATCACTTCATCTCGTTACATCCTTAAAAAACACGGATACAAAGCTGCTCCTCATGATGAGGTAATGAAGCTTTTCATTGGCCCTTGATTTTTGTTTTATTTCACTAGAGTAAAGATGGCTTCTCTGTCGTCATTTTCCTTCTGGCAGGGAATAAAATATGTGATGATTCCTGAGGGGATGAGGGATTACCAATGGCTTGAGGGCCTTCTCAAAGGAGAAAAGGTCTCTGCTGGTCCATACCGCAACAGACTGTGAGTATCAACTAAATGTTATGTGCTGCTGCAGTATTTATGGCTTTTTGTGGTGTTAAATTAAAATAAATTCAGAATCTGTGACATTTTTATTCAAATGCTATAACATACATTTTATTAAGTGTCTATTAAAACTGTACATTTAAAAAATAGAACTTTGTAATAAGTGTTTTGCCTTAAATTTAATAATAATTTTACAAATCATTTATCTCTTGCTCAAGCAACTTTCTGGGACCTTCCTCTGTGGAGTTTCCGTGTTCTCTGTGTGGTCATGTGGTTATTCCCTTGCTGTTCCCTCAGTCCAAAAACATGCATTCTGTTGATGGCGATTCTAAATTAGTCTTATTGTAGGTGAAATAGACATGCATGTAAAGTGCTATATAAACATTTGTGAAAATTGTTTGAGTGATGGTCAGATAAGAAAAGCACCATAAGCCACTTCATTTCTTTTTTGCTTTGCTTTTTTACTTTTTAAGTATTTTGCCGGTTCAGTTACTGTTGAGAAACATCTGCTTTCTGTTTGTGCAAATCAAGCCTTCATTTTGGTGAAAGTGAGCTTTTAGGGGAATAATCAACATTTACTTTATACTGATAAGTCAAACCGTAAGACGTGTATTGCCACTTGAATTTAAAAGACTCTTTAAAGCAGAATTGTTTATGTCAATTAAATTTCATTTGCAGACAATTAATTGAGATAGTTTACTACGGAGAAGTGTAAACTTTTCTTTCACTTAAGTAAATGCACACTTTTTTTTAACAACTACACGGCTGTTCTGCAGACCATCTAAATTTTGTGTCATACATGCACACTCAGACTGATATTCAGGTAAAAGTTTTTTGGTCTAAAATGGACTGCAGGCACATAAGCATATGTTTCCAGCTGTTCACTCCAGCAAATAAATTTAATAGCATTTGAGAAACTAAAATATCTCATCATCCTTTCATTACTCCTATTGTTCAACCCCCCCAGGCCAAGGACCTACTATTCAGGGCAGTACAACGAGAGCCGCTTCTACGTTCTGCATCAGGATTTCCTCCGATATGTGCGGAACAGGTCAGCCTTCTTTCACCATCCACTCCAGAACATTTATTTTTAAACAGTGCAGACTATTTATTCTATTTTTTTTTAATTTTATTTAAAGCCTTAAATTATTTAAAGCCTTCTCTTAATTACAATATTAAAAGTTGCTAAGTTAAATAAAATAAAAAAATGTTGATAAAAGTTGTTAAATAAGTTGAAGGTCCATAATGTTTGATTTTTTTTTTTTAATCAAATGATCCAAACAATATTGAAGTACAGATTTTATGCATAGTCCAAGTTAACTTTTCCCATTGTAACAATATGTACACAAATACAAACAGACATTTTTCAGTTCTTTCTGCTTACATTGAGTGAGTAGCAGCCAGGTGCTGCTAATCAAGGGGAAGTTTTCTGCAGTCATTGCTCCAGACCATGCAGATGTGTGCTAACACCATGCTACAGTCTTCCCAACAGTGGGTGTGTGATGGTCAAAGAAATTGCAAAAACCGCAATAGCTACACCTTAGATTCTAACAGTCTTAGTTAGCATGTTAATTGTTAAAGATCATGACATTACAATGAGGAAAATGAAAAAGCCTCTACTCTCTAAAAAAGAAATGCAGCACCGTTTAGGTTTGAAGAGTTCTATCTGAACAAACCGCAGGACTTCTAGAACAATGTCCTTTGGACAGATAAGCCCAAAGTGGAAATGACTGCCCATAATGCACAGCACCACATTTATAGAGAACCAAATACAGCATATCAGCTCAAACGCCTCATATTGACTGAAACCACAGTGCGAGAGGAAAGATGATGAGTTGGACTTGTTTTCTAGCCATAGCAAATGGACATTTTATAGTCGAAGAGTTAAACATACACTTGTCTGTATATCAAAGTGTTCTACAGCCAAATGTGAGGCCGCCTGTAGAACAACTAAAGCCAGCCAAACTGAGTCATTTAATAGGACAATGATTCCAAATCAAGCAGCAAGCGTACAACAGAATTGCTGTGGAATCAAGGTGCTGCAATGTCCCATTCAAAGTCCAGACCACAACTCAATGGAAATGTGAGGTGAGAAATTAAGACACCTGTGCATAAACAAATGCCTACAAATACTGAACTTAAGCAATGTTGTACAGAAACATTCTTCCACAACAAAGTGAGAGACCGTTAGTAATACAGAAAATAATTATTACTTCAAGTTATTGTTGCTACAACCTATTATATCATTGCATTACAGGTTCTTGAAGTCACGAAATCTGAATAAGAGATACTGGGCGAGGGTCAGACCAACCAACGGAGCATTCACTCTCTTCCTGGCTCTGCACACCTGTGACACAGTGAGTTAACACTTGATTTTAACTTCTTAACATTACAACTACTTCTAACCACACCTTTGGAAGAATGCAGCACACCATGTGTACATTAACTTTGTATTAAAAGCATATTAACGTCAAACTATCTTATTACTGTTTTAGCAGCATATTTCAACGTGGAAAGACCTTCCCAGCAATCATATAATAAAGTTGTATTAAAGCTCTGAACCACTGTCAGGGATAAGCTGAAGGAACACTGACTTTTTGTGTACCCTCCTAGGAAAATAAGATAAGATGTTTAAATTAAAACTGTAAAATAAGGTGTGTCACCAGTTTTATTGAACTGTTCCAATGTGTGAACACAGACCAGCTGGACAGCATCGATAAAACTGATGTCACACCTTGTTTTACACAGCTATTTAATAAACTTGTCAAACAGATTCATCAAGTGTCTATAACATGACCCAACTCAAGAGCTTCATGCATTTATATAAATTTCACAATGGTAACTTTATCATTTACTTTGAATTATTGGCAGTTCCTCTTAACAGCTTTCTTTTTTTGGACACTTTTTATTAGCTGTTAGCCAAAGTCTGATGTGTTACTATTGTCAAGAGTTTTCTTTTTTTAAAGGCCTTTTTTGGGGTGATTTTTCTTTTTTACATTCTCACAACAGGCTAATTGTGTTAGGGTTCAAAGATGGACCAAGATTCAGAGTAAAACAAAAACCGAGACTTATCACACAGTGATCAGTGCTAGTTAAAGGTACAGTTTCTTTATTTCTCAAGGACAGCAAAGAATGTGAGAACTTCACTCAGAGATGGAAAGACAGGACAGGAGACAAAGCAAACATTCAAAGAATAGAAATGCTAAGGGATACAGTGGCTTGCAAAAGTATTCGGCCCCCTTGAACTTTTCCACATTTTGTCACATTACAGCCACAAACATGAATCAATTTTATTGGAATTCCACGTGAAAGACCAACACAAAGTGGTGTACACGTGAGAAGTGGAACGGAAATCATACATGATTCCAAACATTGTTTACAAATAAATAACTGCAAAGTGGGGTGTGTGTAATTATTCAGCCCCCTTTGGTCTGAGTGCAGTCAGTTGCCCATAGACATTGCCTGATGAGTGCTAATGACTAAATAGAGTGCACCTGTGTGTAATCTAATGTCAGTACAAATACAGCTGCTCTGTGACGGCCTCAGCGGTTGTCTAAGAGAATATTGGGAGCAACAACACCATGAAGTCCAAAGAACACACCAGACAGGTCAGGAATAAAGTTATTGAGAAATTTAAGCGAATTCAAGCGATCATTCAGAAATGGAAGGAGTATGGCACAACTGTAAACCTACCAAGACAAGGCCGTCCACCTAAACTCACAGGCCGAACAAGGAGAGCGCTGATCAGAAATGCAGCCAAGAGGCCCATGGTGACTCTGGACGAGCTGCAGAATCTGTCCATAGGACAACTATTAGTCGTGCACTGCACAAAGTCGGCCTTTATGTAAGAGTGGCAAGAAGAAAGCCATTGTTAACAGAAAACCATAAGAAGTCCCGTTTGCAGTTTGCCACTGGCCAAAATGCAAAACGCTATGTGTGGCGGAAAACTAACACTGCACATCACTCTGAACACACCATCCCCACTGTCAAATATGGTGGTGGCAGCATCATGCTCTGGGGGTGCTTCTCTTCAGCAGGGACAGGGAAGCTGGTCAGAGTTGATGGGAAGATGGATGGAGCCAAATACAGGGCAATCTTGGAAGAAAACCTCTTGGAGTCTGCAAAAGACTTGAGACTGGGGCGGAGGTTCACCTTCCAGCAGGACAACGACCCTAAACATAAAGCCAGGGCAACAATGGAATGGTTTAAAACAAAACATATCCATGTGTTAGAATGGCCCAGTCAAAGTCCAGATCTAAATCCAATCGAGAATCTGTGGCAAGATCTGAAAACTGCTGTTCACAAACGCTGTCCATCTAATCTGACTGAGCTGGAGCTGTTTTGCAAAGAAGAATGGGCAAAGATTTCAGTCTGCTAGATGTGCAAAGCTGGTAGAGACAGACCCTAAAAGACTGGCAGCTGTAATTGCAGCAAAAGGTGGTTCTACAAAGTATTGACTCAGGGGGCTGAATAATTACAGCACACCCCACTTTGCAGTTATTTATTTGTAAAAAATGTTTGGAATCATGTATGATTTTCGTTCCACTTCTCACGTGTACACCACTTTGTGTTGGTCTTTCACGTGGAATTCCAATAAAATTGATTCATGTTTGTGGCTGTAATGTGACAAAATGTGGAAAAGTTCAAGGGGGGCGAATGCTTTTGCAAGCCACTGTATTTGATAAACTGCATATTTAAAGATCTAGAATGTCCTCGGATTGCACCGTGATTAGCACTGTTGCCTCACAGCAAGAAGCTCCTGGGTTCAAATGCAGCCTAAATACATTTGCACCAGCTTTATGCTGTCTAGGCGAGGTGGAAAGCAGTGATAGCTCACGTAACATCTGCTTGCAACTTGTTGAATTCAGATGTGTAAATCCAAAAAGAATACTGATCTAAGCCAGTCGCCTCAAGGTGCATTATATTGTAAGTTAAAGACCACACGATAATACAAGTATCTGTAGCGAAAGGAGAAAAAAGAAAGGGGGGAACTGGCTCTTTGAGCTCTAGAAATACCATGAAACCAAACAGAAACCAATTCTTAAAAAACCTGAAATCGTGAAAATTTGAATTTCCATACTTGTTCTCCCTTTAATATGTTGCTTCTCTAATGATAAAAGTAATAATTATCATTAGAGAAGATAGTGAAGATAAAGGTATATTTATATTTTTATTTAACATTAGCTGTTGCTGTTAAAGAATGAGTTAAAGGTAAACTAATAAACTGGGCTTGTTAAAGTGGCTCCCCAGGTGTTTTACTAATTCCAAAAGCAGTTGTCATTTTTATCATTTATTATTTCAGTGTAATTCAGTCCCCTTTTTATTTCTCACTACTTCATCTTCAGGTGGATGCATACGGATTCATGAGTGAAGAATTCAAGAAATACTCCAACTACTATTATGACAAGTATGTTAAAACCAGGGTCGTTTTCTATTCCAACCACGACTACATTCAAGAGAAGAACACATGGAAAAACCTTCACAACAGCAAAATATTAAATCTGTACCAGGGAGTGTAAGTAAACCCAGGACTGTAAGATCTGCAGCAATGCTGCAACGGCAAGAATAAAAGCAATGGGATAAGGAAGAGACTGTTATTTACCGATTATTACAAGTCAAACAGATAAGGTTCAGATAAGAGCGCACCATAAACATCTTCTCCACAATCAAGTTGATTCTGTTCTCTTCCAGTTAAGATCCGGTATTATAACCACACATTTGAGTAAGTCAGTGCAATCTAGGATGAAATTTACACTTTTTCTGTTTCTAGCCCCGTAATCAAATTTCATTTCTTACAAATCAATATTCAGAATTTATTCAGAATGATCCATACGTGTTTAACTATATATAAGTATATACTCATATACAGCACATAAACATACACATAAAACAATTTCAACACATAAACCAAAACAACAACAAACTACATTTTTACATAAACTAAGCAACCTGTGGTTAACAGCCACTTAATCTCTTACCTAATTTTTATTTCTAAGTGACAAAATACCTTAATGAACACTTTAAGCTTGGGTTACTCTGGCCTCGATCTATAAAAATAAGGACAAGGCTTCAATAGAACATAATGAGACAACTCAATAGGTATGACAGGATTAAATAATGCTATCTGCACACATAGTAATGCATTCTGGGGGCACATGCAAGGCCTACCAGTTCTTACAAATAACAATCCAACAGTCAACACCACTCCTTTAAAATGCAGATTACAAGTGTTATTAGGCATGTAATGTAGTAATAATGTATTATTTAGTTTTAATGCTTTGGTGATTGTCAATTCGTTTCTGTAAAAGAATGTATATGTAAAGTATTAAAAGTAGCCAGGATGTGGCTGCTGGTATTAAACTTAAATGAAGTGATGTGATGTTTTTTGACTGTTAAAACTACTACAGATGAGATATAAAGGCTATAAATTATTTATTTTGGCCCATGGGTGGTTAAATTGTTTTTCCAATCTGTATCTATCTCAGACAGTTGCAGTATGGGCTCTGAGATGAGCTCCTGCAGTAAACAGCACCACCTGCAGCTTTTTCAGAGCAGGACTTTATCCAAGTGCTGTACTTTAGTACGCCTTTGACTTACTTTGTACTATATATCAGTATTGCAGTAATATAACGTAGCGTTACTGTTTTAACATAATAATAATAATTAGGTGAGTGGGGTTTTGCATGTTGTGATGTTTTTATCTTCTTTCCTATTGATGATTTTGTATCTTGTAAATTAACCGTGTCACCCAATTCTACACAGACACTGTACTTCAATACTTTTTTCATTATTTCTTTTCTTATTTCATACAAATATTATGTTGGGTATACTTTACTAGTATTGAGTTGTACTCTGGCCTTCAGTGCTACTTTAATTCTTTATGGTAAAGATTCAACACAGTGATGGAAACATTCCTTGGAGATTTTGGTCCATGTTGAAATGATAGCATTGTGCACTCTCCAGTTCCAGAAAGCAGTGGCACCCCCTGTGGGCCTCTGCTGCTGTAGCACACCTGCTTTAAGATTCGACATGTTCTTCTCCATATACTGCCACCCTTCTGTCACCTGGCACATTCTCCTCTGATTTCTGGAATCATCAAGCCACTTGTTTTATTTATTTTAATTCCTTTTCACAGCTTTCTCTATAAACCGTGGACACTTCGAGTAGATCAGCAGTTTCTGAGACACTGCAACGAGCCCATCTGACACCAACAATCAAGTTAAAAGTTTAAAGACACCTACATCACTCACTCACATTATTTATTTATTTATTATTTCAGCAGTTATTGAGCTATTATTGACAGTTAATTTTATTCTGCACTGGCTTTTAATGCATTACTTCAGATGGGCATCTTAGGCTAAATCCTAATTGCTCATATTAACTAGTGTGCATTGTCCCTTTTATATTTAAAACTGCTCCTCCATCGTATACTGTGTCCCGGTCCATTTTATGTGGTCTCTGTATTTGTGCGTTTGTCTTTCCAGCTTTCCCCGTCCCTCCTTGGTCCGCGTGGGGCTGTGAGTGGTTATGTGGGTGTCAGTGTTTACTGCTGGGTTTCCTGTTATGTGGCCTTGTTCCCGTTTTTGTTTTCTGTTTTTTGTCTTTGTTTTTTTTTTTAACTACGTTTTTTTGTGTGTGTGGCACAGAGCATCCGAGAAGTTTGTGCTTGAGTTTCTGGTGAGTGAAATTCTGGTCTTTAACGAATTTGTGACTTCCCGCACATTAGCAGACACGTATGTGTGTTACCTGATAACTTTACGCTCCACCCTTTAACCCATCAGTTCTGGCTCCGAAAGTCAACATGGCGGCAACACAGCTAAAGCTAAAGCTTTGAAATGTGGAATACGGAACAAATGCGTGACGTCACGACGGTTACGTTTACATGGGGCGTGACTTCCGAAAATAAATGATACGGTTAAACATTTAAAAGCGTTCAAAAACATTAGCGCAATACTTCACCATGCTTTGCGAGGTAAACGCGATTATAGGACAAAATCTTACGCGAATAAATAAGAGCTCTGCGTTAGATTTTAACTTTTTAACAACCCGGAAAACCCCACGGAATCCCATCATGCATTGCGCTTACTGTTGACGGTTAATCTAATGTGAATAAACTTATAGCGTTCACATTAAAAATCTTACCCTGTGCATTTATATTGTTTTATTCACTACTGCATTGTGTGACAATGAGTGGTCTTTGTCATTTATAAATGCTCTTTCCCAGTGAACCGTCACTTTACACGGCTTTGTTGTCAATGGGGTCCTGTTGCGGTGTTGCTATGATTTAGTACACTCTTGTTTCTCTTCAGATCGTATAAATCTTTCGCCTTTTACTAAAGATTTCCGTGGAGAGGAACAATAAGAGTTTCACCCAATTTTTTGATGCCCTGTATTTCGCGGGGCTTGTTAACTGTGTTCAAAAGAAACAATGCCCTGGTAGCGCAATCGCAAACAATGTTAGTATTGCAACATCTTCAAATGTAGCCTGTCATGTAATGTTTTCATTTTTCATGTACCCGTTATTGTTGTTACAGTATATATTATCATAGTGAGCACGCTGAACTATAGCAATTTATCACAGTTAATATTTTCATATTTTACGTTTTTTTTCATTTATTCACATTAAGATTTTATTTTTTTTTAAAAATGTTTCTATTCGTTTTATTTATTTATATGTTAGTTTGTTAGTCTTTTTCTAATTGGAGTTCAGAACAATGCAAAAGAGTAAAATTAAGGACATTTCCAAAATATTTTTATTTTATTCAACATCATGTTTACTTGATGAATGTTCATTCATCGCTTCCACTTATCCTTTTTAAGGTCACGGGGGCGCTGAAGCCTATCCCAGCTGTCTTTGGGCAAGAGGCAGGGTACACCCTGGACAGGTCTCCAGTCTATCACAGGGCTAACACATAGACAGAGACAAACATTCACATATATGGGCAATTTAGTGTTTCCAATTAACCTAACGCCACTAACTGCATGTCTTTGGACTGTGGGAGGAAGCCAGAGTACCTGGAGAGAACCCACACAATCACGGGGAGCACATGCAAACTCCACACAGACCCCGGCCAGATGGTGGAATTGAACTCGGGACCTTCTTGCTGTGAGGCAACAGTGCTAACCAGTGGTGAATGTATATTTAGTTATTATTTTTTTAACAGTAGTATTTAACTTTTTTAGTTTTGTTTAGAGTAGATTTTAAATGTGGATTTTTGTTTTTAACGCCTCACACATGATCTGGCATCAAAGTATTTCCCTGACGTGCACCTAAGCTGCAAACCTGCTTGACCTCTTAGGTCATCTAGATCAAGCTGCCTGGTTATATTCCAGGTTTCCATTAAAACTGTTGGAGAAGCTCATACTTTTTGTGTTCAACAACCTATTAAACCGTGTTAGATGTGCTCCAACAAATCAGTACTTAAGGGTGTTTAGTTCCTGCTCTTAAGTATTTTACAATTGAAAAACATATTTTAGGTTTAATTAATTTTATTGGACTACTGTTGAGCTGTTTGTTTGTTGTTTGCTCAAGAAAGATGTTAAATCTTTATATAATTTATAGAAATCTCCTGTGTTGTAATTCTGGTTACCCATTATCACTGATGAGGCTGTTATTAAAACAAGAAGGTGAGTGTTGATTTATTGGAATAAGACATAACCAAATCAGCCACGGATTACAAATAGTAAAAGACTTGAATGTAGTGGGGTAAAATGTGCAATATAGATGCAAAAGTCCCATTTTTCTAAGGCATGATCCCTGATTATACATTATGCTATGTATCTTCAGTATCCCCCACCATATTACACCTCAACTACCAGTACGAACCATTTAAACAAGGTAGGATGAAGCCATGCTTTCATGTTGTTTAGGTCAAATACTACCTGTATGTCACAAAACAGACTCATCCAACAAGCAATGTTTTTTGTTTTGTTGGGGGAGGGTTCAGTCTTCTGTCCAGTTTTAAAGATCCTGTGTAAATTTTTAGTGGCACCCAGCGTGGTCTTCTGCTGCCAAAGCCCATTTGTGTCAGGGTTTTACGTTCAGAGATGATCTTCTGCATACTTTGGTTGTAACGTTCAGTTGTCTGAGTTACTGTTGCCTTCCTATCAGCTTGAAGCAATCTGAATCTGGTCATCCTCATCTGACCTCTAGCATCAACAAGCCTACAGAACTGCCACAGACTGGATATTTTCTCTTTTTTAGACTGCTCTCTATAAACCCTAGAGTTAGTTGAGTGGGAAAATCCCAGCAGATCAGCAGTTTCTGAAATACTCAGAGCAGCCCATCTGGCACCAAGAAGAATGCCACATTGAAAGTCACTAAAATCACTTTTCTTCTTCAGTTTGTTGCTCAATTTGCAGGTTATCTTGACTATGTCTCTGTGCTTAAATGCACTGAGTTGCTGACATGTAATTACATATTTTTTAAGGCGTCATTATTAAGTCCTAGGCAGCACACAGTGGTGCAGTAGTTAGTACTGTTGCCTCACAGCAACGTTCGACTGCACCATCTGGCCAGGGCCTTTCTGTGTAGAGTTTGTACGTCCTGTATTTGTGCGGGTTCTCTGCAAGTCCAGCTTCCTCCCAACGCCCAAAGACATGAAATTAGAGGGGTTAGGTTAACTGATAAATTGCCCTTCGGTGTGAACATGAGTGTGAATGGTTGTCTGTCTCTCTGTGTTAGGCCAGCAAATGACTGGCAACCTGTCCAGGGTGTACCCCGCCTCTCGCTCTATAATAGCTGGAATAGGCTCCAGTCCCCCGACAACCCTGACAAGGATAAGTGGAAGAGAACGGATAGATGGATGGATTATTATGTTCTTTGCATCCACAGGTTAATCAAAACCTGCCAGTGTTTTGGTTAGACTGTAGATTTGAATTTACAACTTCTAAACTATGAAATCTACTACCATTGCATATGAGATCTGTGGCTATTGAAACTTTTAAAGAGCTGTTAAAGAGTTTTTAGTATAGGCTTGCTTTAAACTAGTGGATAATGTTGTTGTTTTAACACTTATATTATATTTTGTATTTGTTTGCTTGCTTTTCTTAAAAGGTGCTATTTAAATACATTTATATACTTACTTAAAAAGTAATGAAAAGAGTGCTGTAATCTACCCGAGCACAAGAGGGCGCCTTTGAACGCTTTGAAATATTTAAAGCGAAGCGGTTTTAATGATATCAAACGTTCGAACATAAACAAAACCAACAAGAGTAAAATTCACTCTGGAGAAGATGGTATTCTTTTCTTTAAAAATGACTATAGTACTAAAACCAGATTACTGTAACTTATTAGTCACTAATTGTTCCAGCGTTAATCCTATAAATAGACTTTTAGCCTACTTCTTATTCATGAACATATGAATATACGCTGAGCATACCTCTGTAGCTACCCTTACTCAAATTTTTAAAAGCAGGACTTAACATCAGGCAAATATTGCAACCTTCATTTACTGACTATAGACTGCTACTATTATACTCACATGTTACTTATTAATAAAGTGAACAAATCACTATTTAAATCCCGTTTCCGCCTAAATGTCCCTTTACTCTGTGAGGAATAAAACACACACAAGCGGGTAATAGAGAGTCCAGGCCTTTAACAAATGCTGTAAGCCCTTTAGTATGTACGATCCCCGGCCCTTCCTCCCCGGCTCGTCCCTCATCTCCTCCCGGTTAAAACGTGACACACTTCAGTGACAGGTCACGTGATGGCCGTAGCGTTGATCCGGAAGGAGGGAGGGATGGAGGGGAGCGGGTTGAGTAGCGGGAGGAAGGGAGAGTAGAAGGGGATTGAAAATGCGTCAGGTCAGCCAGAGAGCGCGTGTAACAGAACGGAAGCCTGTGCGAGGAGGTTTCAAAATAAACATCAAGGAGCTTAAAGAGAGAAAAAAAAATCACCCATGACTGAAAAATGAAACCAACAAAGAAATGATAAAAACTCTGCAGTTCATCTAATGGTCACTTGAGGCTGGTTCCAAAAGTCAGTCAGTCCCCAAACTCCAATATTAAAATGCCCAACCAAACAGTGTTAAAAGAGCACGTTTGCAGCCTGGTACCAAAAACGAAAAAAATAAATAAATAAAAATACCTGGCAGCACGAAGCTATTATGGGTTTATTGGTTTACTGAATTGACTTAATCTATGTTCAGTAATTGTCAATAAAGAATCATTCTGTTCTTCTTCTTCAGACTGAAGAAAAAAGATCTTTTTCTGAAAATAAAGATCAAGTTATTTTCCATAGTGGACCAAATTAAATGACCAAATTTATGCTATAGAACCCAAAAAAACTAAATAAAGTCTACTTAAAAACATGT